AAATGCTGAATTTTCATTGTTTTTTAGTGAAAAGCCATTAACATTCCATGTTGCAATGCTAAGACAATGCCGGCTGTTTCCCTATTTCTTTTTGGGTAAAAAACGGCCATTTACGAGGTTAAAATTGTCATTTTGGCCCGTAGCCCGGAGTACAGCACGTAAATTGTCATTTACTTTCTTGTTTTCAGGCGTCATAAAATCCTCAATGTACACTTTACTGCGAGTGGTGCTGCTTTTCAGTTTTTTCTTTGATTTCATTATAGCAGTCCTTGTTTCCTTGTTCACCCTAGCTATAATAATACCAGGATAAGTAGTACCCAGGCGTTTTGGGCGTCTAGTTGCTGAGTTTACTTTCATGTCTGGAATATCTAACGCATCTCTAATGAGGTCATTGATTTTTTGTTCACAATTTTCATTTTCAGATTCCTCAATGTTTTTTATAACAATATCACACATGTCTATGGCACTATTTGATGCATTATTGGCTGATTCAAGTTTATTGATCTGTGACTGAAGATCACTACGTACCGTTTCCACCTGTATTTTGATATCATCGGTCGTTACAGAAAGTTTTTCCTCAATACGCTGCATGAGTCTGACTTCTTGAGCCGCTATTTCGTCATAGACATTTTGTATAGACGATTTTATTGTCTGTTGACCTTGCTGGATTGAGCTAAACATGTCCATAATATGTGCCAAAGCATCCCTTTGTACTGCTGGCTGCTCACCCTGGGTCTGACTAACATGCTGCATGACTATTACATCTGCTGTGTTGTTTTCCCTGGAAATAGAACTTCCCACCTCGGCCCTCGATGCGATGGGGGCTGCCCGAATCTGGACCGGCCGAGGGGGAGTTCCCCCTCGGTCGGAGCAGCCTCGGAGAGCCTCTTCCATAGCAGTCGACGGTACCTTGGTAGCTTTATCCATAGTTGGTTTAGATATATAGCCATTATTCGTCTTATTTGCAGTCTTTGCGTTGCTCCTTGAGACGGTTTTGACGACACCATTTTTCACCGGCCCCATTTTCGTAGATTTTATGACCGGAAGTACAGTGTTATCCCAGTTTTCTCGACTACTTCAGCGTTGTGTTCATTAAAAGTGTCAATTTTCAGTGACTCTATACATTCATGTATCTTCATTAACGAACTAAAAGTATTTATACTCACTAAAACACACGTATTTTGGCAATATATCCAGAAATTTTCGAGAAATTTAAAAACGTGTTGCAATGCGTCAGAATTACGAACGTAGTCCAGGGTGTCGCGCAAATGTAACTTTGATTCTTGTAAAATAAGACAATATTCTAATTTAAGTAATATATCATTTTAAAGCTGCTTTTATGAGGTTTTCAAATTAGGTACATTCCTTTCACAATTCGTGTTCGTTTTTTAAATAGATATTTTTACCCAAAAATCTGGCAAATATCCGCTGTGGACACATTACATATAATTTTTCATCTTTAAACGCTCATAACTGGAACAGTATTTTACTACAATATTTTTTAATCTTGATAAAAGTACATGGAAGTGTCTATTCAAATGATGAATTCTAGTAAGCGTCCCATATCATGACGTCATGTAGTTGGGTCGTTCCATATGTGCTCTGCAGGAGACTGATTGAGTGGCTTTTGTGCCCATGGAAGCTGGTCAAAATTGCCGGCCCTGGGATAATCCAACACAATGCCACTAGCATGTGCAACAGCATGATCATTCTTCAGTTGAATGTTGCCCTAAAACACCCTATTCGCATGAGGTACTTGGTGAAGGTCCAAAAGGTCAAATTACTCTGAAAGTATTCTTGAGAATCACCAAGGGGATGCCACCTCGATAGTACTGCTCTAAACAACCTCTGTAATACTGCTCCAAACATGAATAGGGCCGCCTTCATGGACTAATAAGTGTCCTTATTCTCTCTTTCCCTTGGTCTACGACAGACACGAACACAATTACCAACTTTGTGGAGGACACGTCTTCTTTTTACTAGAGATTTAGTCCAAAGTGTTGGTGCTTTATTTGCCCATTGAAGGCACCTTTCTTTGTTATGATCAGTGAGGTTTGGCCTTTAAAGGTCTCGTGGCCTTGCATCTGTTATCAAGAAATCGCCGATTGTCTAGAGCACTGAAACACGAGTTTTGAAGTGAGGCAGCCATTCATCTCGTAGAGTACTGGTTGACTTAAAACGATTTTGATGGCATATATGCAGCAGGTGGTCTTTTGCAATTTTCTCTCTTATGCTACTATTGCTTTGACCTGGAGTCACATTCCTATGCCTTTGGTACCACTGCAGAATTTTAGAGACTGTTCCTGACACACCCTTAGGGTTTTGACAATGGCAGTTTGTTTCATGCCAAAGAGTGCCATCCCTATGACCTACCATGCTCTTTTGAGCTCTAACTTTATCAATAATTTATATTTTTCCATGAAATTTTTAGTAAATGTTCCTTAGAGACATTTTGATTATTCTAAAAAAATTTCATGTTGACTGATAAAACTATATTGATGTTATAATAAAATCAAGTTGGTGAGTTTGGGTAGGGCGGGGCTGGTTAAACAGTCACGTTAAAAGGAATAAAAAATTGAAAATATGAAATAATTAATCAACAAATACCATTTGGTGTAGCTATAAGAAGTATGCTCAAAAATACATTTTTAAGATACTAAATTACTATGAGCACATCCTAGATTTAATGGATGTATATTGCACAGTGTCCCATTTCACATTTTCTCAAAATATTGCCCTTTGCATGTTATGTACTTTTGATGCCTGTCGGGTCAAACACTCTCGGCAATTTCTTCCACTGTGACTTGTGGATTTTCTACCTCCAATGTTTGGAGTTGTCATGCAGGGTCAAATCGTCTCTTTTAAATCTCTTCTGCCACCCCATAATTGTAGTTCTATCTGGTATATACTCCTTATATACTTTCTTCATGGTAGCATTGTTTTGCTTGGCTGTGAGTCCAAGTGAAGTATGAAATTAGGCCACCAAACGCAAGGCCTTCTGTTATCAGGTGAGAATTGCAGCAATTTTTTTAATTTCTTGACTGTGACTGTATTTGAATTCGTGACTATTGAAATGTGGTATTATGACATCACAGTGCTAAATGTCATTATTCGTACTTGGTTAACATCATGCTGAATAAATTTAACAATTTCCCAAACATTTTGACCATTTAAAGGAAAGAAATATTAATAAAATAACACTTTAGATCTTTTCATAATTAGAAAAATTGGTACCTGCCCCGCCCACCCCTACCCCCATGTTGTTATAGCAACCATATTAAGACTTATTGTTAATGTTGGATGCTGAAACTTAAGGATATAATAGATAAAACTTCAATTGTTATATACACAAAATTTCAGCTGAATTGAAGAGTATTAAAGAAAGTTAGAGCATATAGTGCATTACTTCTGGGACAACCCTCGTATAATGAGGTCAAGGGTGACTTGAGTGAATGCGACTTTAATCAATCATACATTTTTAACTTTTCATACCTATCAGTTAAATATGCAAAACTGATGAGGGAATCAGGACACATTACAAATTTCCAACAAATTGTTATCATTTTGTAGTAATTCAAATAAACAATTCATCTATATAAGATACTCCATATTTATGAGCAACAGTGTATTGCATTATGCCTGAAATTCGTGAAGAGAACGTGATACGCGAATACTCAAGGCGATTCTCCGATTTTTACCTTCATTACATAGTCGATAACTCGATTTTCATGAAATAACGCATTTGGAATGAGAAATAAATCCAATATGCTTAATTATTATTCATCAATCAGAGCAATGATAATAATATTTTTTGCATTTTCTGGAGTATTAGGAACAAAGTAACAATCAATATTTTATGAATTTCACCAAGTTCCATCTATCATAATTTGCCCTGCAACGCCCAAATCACATTGGTTTTTAAATAACAATCGAGAAAAATCCAGAGGGGGCTCGGATTGACCCCCCTCCCACCCCCCTAGTAGATTGTATGGATCTCGATCAACATTCAAATTGAAAAAAATAAACATATGACGTGCACGGACCTGGGGACAATTAGAGAAATACGGCCTAATGTCACCTTTAAACGTTAATACCCGCCTAAGTAAAAAACCTAAGCATGTGTTTCATATATCATTTTGAAGCCTTTTTTATGCGCGTTTCAGTGATACTATTTTTGCTCGAAAATTTCGATGTAATCTACCATCTTTTTAAAGTTGAAACTACCCCAACATCGAAAAATACGGTGTAAGACGTAACACTTTACCCTTAACCGGTTCGTTGAAATTAGGATAACTTTTGAAGTAATAATCAGAATCCCATTAAATTTTCACATTTTGTTCAATTGACCATGTGTATTTATGACGTCATAATTGCGTAACGGCTACAATTTGAATTTTCTTATTTGGACGCTTGCTACAATTTTCAAAATTATGTAAGGTTTTTCATCCGAAGGGGACAGGCGATAAGTTTACCTTAATTTGACCTTCTTATTTAGGTTTAATTTGAATGAAAAATCAACTGCACAATATTGTCACGGCGAAATTTACAAAACAATAACCGGATTGTTTATTTTGCAAATTATATCAAAATAAGAGCTGATTTTCGAGACTTGAAAAAAAGGGACGCGTCGTTTTTTTACCACAAATTCCATACATATCAATTTTCACTATCGCCCCAAGTGGATTTCCCGACCGTTTTTCAAAATTCAAAATCATTTTAGAAATATTGTCCTCGAGATCTTGCTACCCTGTGAATTTTATCATGATTAGCTAAGGATAAAGGATTTTATTTTGAGGTTGACTAAACTTGAAAAAAATGTGACGCTCGTCGTTTTTGACGTTGTAATGCTGTTTGCACCCTATACTGCTCATTGTTTGTTTTGGTATTTTGACGCCATAATGTTACTCTAATTGTCCCCAGTTTCGTGCGACGTGTAACAGTGTTGTAGACACTCTAAAGGGAACTTCCGGTTGCCAAACTTGAGGAGTGTATATACTAACCTTTTCAAGTAGGTATGCACTACTTTAGCACCAAATAAAAGGGCAAGTACACAAACTACTGCAACCACTAGGCCAACGATAATGTTCATTGTTTCTACAGCCTGACCACCGGATGAAACTGAAGACATGTCACAAGTTGGTCCACTAAAACCTTCAATATAAGTTTTCAAATCAAGTAATACATAGAATGGTGACATGAAACTACTGTTTCTACACAATAGAATGAACTGTGTTTTATTTTTAAGAATAGCCAGCTATACCAAAGAGGAGTGTATTATTTTCTATTGTTTTTTAAATAATGTACACTTGGCATTAGTTAGCCAAAACCAGTGTGGCACAAAAGACGATTGACTGTCATATGCAGTGCACTAAACCTGAAGTAATTATACCCTATTCACTCTTTCAATAGTTGAATAGTAAACACAAACGAAATAAAATGTTAAACTGTATATAAGTAAATTGCAATGCACTTAAGCTGAACAAATAACACCCACTCACTTTTCAGTTAGCTTACCTCAGTCAATACAAAATAAATGTGGATTTTCCTATAATTGGATCGTTGGCCATTCAACTTTCATAAGGTTGTGTGCCCATTCGCACCTTGGCCATTATTTTATCAGATTTCTTAAGAGACACACTAAAGTGTTATCATGATTTCTTAAACTAACATTTATATAGCGAACTAATTCTTATATTTACCATCGGGACAATAGCATCTGAATCCATTAAGAATATCAACACATGTCCCATTGTATTTACATGGGACTGATTGACACTCATCAATATCTGTTTCACAATTCTTCCCCGTTGTACCATCAACACACCGACACTGATATTGGTTGATACCATCGATGCATGTTGCGTTTTGTTCACAAGGTCCACTTTGGCATTCATCTATATTCGTTTCACAGTTGACTCCAGTTGTTCCATTGATACAAGCACATATGTAAGAGTTCACCCTATCGATACAAGTGGAGTTGAAATTACAAGACTCGCTCTGGCATTCGTCTATATTTATTTCGCAGTTTCGTCCAGTGTAACCACCCGTACACGTGCATGAATATTTGTTGACGTCATCAAAACATGTTGAACCGTGTTGACATGGTGAACTGGCACATTCGTCCACGATTACTGAACAAGTCACACCGACAAAGCCGGGCAGACAGGCACACGTGAATCCATTTACATTATCAGTACAAGTCCCTCCGTTAGCACAAGGTGAGCTTGCACACTCATTGATATTTGTCTGTAACACCAAAACGTTAGAACATGTCGTTATAGTATCTATAGCGATGATGTCACCGTTACCAAAAATACTTAATTTTGTCGATTCGTATATTTTGTAGAATTGTTACAACTTACCTGACACAGGTCGCCAGTGAAACCAGCCGCACAGGTGCAAGTAAACTGATTGATGTCATCGACGCAGACGCCTCCATTTTGACACGGTCCACTCGTACATTCATCAATATCGGTGCTGCAGTCTTTGTCTGTGAACCTTTTAATTGCATTTTCAATTTCAGTAGTATGGTATAAAAATGTCATTCATTTATGTAGCCTATTTCAGCAAAGGAGGAGGGAAAGTATCGCAACAGATTTCGAACAGCCATATGTTGGATTTTGGCTATTTTCTTAGGATTTGAACAGGTGCATATGTTAAACCAATGCATTACCTCCAGAAAATGCACTACAAGAGATGAAATAATGATTTCGACTTTGAGACCGAGAAAATGCAAACAACCCACCCACATTGATTTTCAACCCCTTCCACCCCTGCTTTTTTAATTTTTCTTACATCAATATGTTGTGTTTTGACACACAAAGCACACAAAGCAATGGATCGCATGAGTTCTCCCTATTGGAAAATAACATGGGAAATATTGTTTTCCACTTTATCTAAAGGGAATAATTTATTCCTTTAAAGGGATTGATTGTGTGCGAAAAAACAACATATTGATGCAAGAAAAATTAAAAAAGCAGCCGTGGAAGGGGTTGAAAATCAGGAAAACATTTCAGAAAAAACATGTGGGTGGGTTGTTTGCATCTTCCCTGTCTCAAAGTCAAAATTATTTTATCATCTCTAGGAGTGCTTTTCCTGGAGGTAATGCATTGGTGAAGCATATGCACCTGTTTTAATCCTCAGAAAATAGCCAAAATCAAACATATGACTGTCCGAAATCTGTTGCGATACTTTCCCTCCTCCTTTCAATTATACGGTGATGGAAATGAAACATTTCCTTAAAACTGCGAAAATCTACTATACAAAGCATGAAATTACCACCAAGTACTGATCATAGAATCATAGTGTATGTGCCAAAGTTGAAGCACAAATGATGCCTCATGATAGGGTATATCGGGGTATCGTATATCGTATAAAAGGTTGAACACTTATTGTATATTGTATAAGAGGGGCAAATATTTATTGTATATGGTGTCAGAACTGTAAAAATAGTATATATTTTATGAGAAAAAATATATGGTATATGGTATCTCAAAGCCTTAATGTCACCAGTAAGTTATATTTAGGTTTTAAAAGATTTAAAGAAACATTAAGAACTCCCATATGTTATATATCATATGAAAGCTTATCCATTTCTTTGATTAAACCCATCAGTGTTTACAACTTGCTACATTTCTCTTCAAAGGGTACCCCTTTCGAAGTACATAATCTAACAGCAACCTTTGATTTACAGTGTACCTTGCTAACTGTAATAGGGACGGGAATGGACGGTTGTGCCAGGCATAAGTCTTGCAACAGATAGGGTCTTGAGACACCATGTTATTAAGTGTTTTTAAGTTTCGCAAGGATCCTGCCATGACCGTGGTAGTGTTATCGTGATAGCCTGATATAACCGTGACAATGCTATATTATATTGCAAGGCCTGTCATGACCGTGGTAATGTTAAAGCCTTAGATGACCGCCTGATATGAACATATTTTGATTGATAAACCGATTGGTGTCGTAAAGCTTCAGCCACTGCAGCTTGTTTTGCTTATAATGTCACATAAAATCAACAGCAGTTTCAAAATTATCGTATATGGTATCACCCTAGCCTGTAAGTAAAATATGATGCATAGATATAAAAATGAAATTTCACCCACCCTGGCTTACAGCTACACTTGTACTCGTTGATGAGGTTTGCACATGTTCCACCGTTTTGACATGGGATACTTGAACATTCATCAACATCAGTTTCACAGTGAATGCCTAGTATATACAGGTAATCATATGAAATACATATTATAACGCATTGACCAGTAAAGCTTAGCATTATAATGTTTGTGGCATAGGTTTCAGGCCCGTACCCTGCTTTTGCCAAGGGGTAGAATTTTCGGCCATTTTAATTCCCAATGTTGTGTTTGAAAATGAAAAGGTTGAACAAAGGACACACTATTTCCATAATAAAATGTCATATCTAATGTGGCACTTCAATGTTTAAGCATATCAAAAGATGTGCAACCTAAGTGATGTCGTCATGACATCACTCAGATGGCAAAAACGTTTTAAATTATAATTGAAAAAATCTATGTCAATCTTTTCTAAACATGTTGAACTTCAAAAATAAGCCGATGTTGATTGACTAACCAGGTTATAAGGAGGGATATACTATGTTCTAAATATTATTGTACCATTGCTTTGTACGAGACCTAAATTTTTGGATTGCATTTTTCTCTGAACCATTTCCATGAACCAATTTTCTTTATTTTCTGCAAAAACACGTGAGAATGAATGCTATGCTTTTGTGTAAATTATCGCTTATTGAAAGATACGTGTGACCTGTAAAAGTTATTACTAAATAAATTCAAAATTTTCGAACAAAAAATCCTTCAAAGGTTTCACTTATCACACTTTGATAGCATTCATTTGGGAAAGACAACAATAAAGGCTAAAATTCTTTAAACTTTATATGGAGGCTCTAACAATTAATATATCATGATTGATATCTGAGTAAAAAAAGAAAGCATTTTCATTCATCAGTCATTACATGTACTTTGATTTTATAGATGACAGTATTTCAGGTCTTACCGACAAAACCAGGAATGCAGTTGCAAGAGTACCTATTCACTCCATCAACACACGTTGCTCCATTTTGACACGGGCCACTGAGGCATTCATCAAAATCTAAAATACAGTCGTATATTAAATCACATATTATGCTGTGTTGTGTTATGGTGTGGAGTACTTTATAATTATACAGTGATACAACTTCTTGTTCATGTACAAGTGTGTTAAAATCCTGTGGCATTCTAGTATATAATATCGGGTGTCTCAAAAAATTAATCGCATTTTGACGAAAATTTTCCCAGCAATAGGTGACTCAAAATTGAAAATTTGAAAATGCATACCAAAAATCCAATATCAATAGAAAATCCCCTTATACGAGGGGTGATCAATAAGTAATGGACGCTTTTTTACACGGATACTTTTTATAGACCAATACCTTCGATTTTCTAACCAGTGATATATCATTCAATTATCTATCAACTCTGAAGATTTGAAAACAAAACATGTTATATATTTTGATATATCTTTATTTCCGTGAAGGGGGTTTAGGTACCCCGGTGTAAAAGAAATTATAGTCCCCTGGGGATTATGGTCCCCTTTCCTTACGGCCCTGACTGTGTATAAATAATAAGGAAAATAATTGTGATTAGGTCACCATATAAATCAATAGAGAGTAGGACCAAAAGTTGATAGGACCACCTACCCTTTTACACCAGGGACCGACATTTACTTTAAACATTCTGAAGTTATTTTAGCTTGTTTAACTTGCAACGCAGTTGGATGCAGGCTAAACAAAACAAACCATTATGGTCATGAATTACCCCATTTTGTTATGCCATAGTTGATTTTGAATATTTTATCATCACTATGTGGTATTCATGCCACCTTCATTCTACAGGGCCCTCTACATCAAGTGCAATATGTACACAATTCCTCATCGTCTTAACTCAATATTGTGAGACAAGGCTGAATCCATTCTCTGACATGGTAGCAAGATGCAGTTGCACGTTTTTTTTCATCAATGTCTATAAACCTGCGTCCCTTCTCTATAGAAATTAGTAGTATTAGTAGTAGGAATAAATAAGTCACATGTGGGAAGATCTGGACAATATGGTGAATTGGCCAAGGGCTCAATTTTGAGTTCCATGGATATTGTTTTCTGAACATTTTGAGATATGTGGGCAGGTGAACTGCCTATATGGAGTGGGGTGTTTCCTTCTCTCACCAACCCCTTCTTCCACAATGCTTCCTCAAATTGACCTGCAAACCCCGACCATACAACACTCTGATATCACACCACTTACTGTTTACGTGTAACCAGTCAGCAAAATATTTCAAACAACACAACACTTGTTGCATATAAAAAAGAAAGTTTAAATGTCACTAAAATTTGCCAAACTGGCTAAAAACTGAATATGTGACGTAAATGTCGGTCCCGGGGTACCTATACCTCCTTCACGGAAATAAGAATAGATCAACATTTATTATATATTTTGTCTTCAAATCTTCAGAATCGATAAATAATTGAATGATGTATCACTGGTAGGAAAATCAAAGGGATTGGTCCATAAAAAGTATCTGTGTAAAAAAGCGTCCATTACTTATTGATCACCCCTCGTATTAGTCTGAAAGAACATTATTCCAATCAGAAATGTATGCCAATGACATAGTTACCCTGTCCTTTGATGCATGTTGGATGTAGTGTATTTTTGTTGATAGGTCTATTAACAGTAACATGACTCTGAATCTTAACTCTTGTTCTAAATGTCTTTCTGATTAATCTTCCGACCAAACCTTTCACCTTGAAACAGTTTCGCAATAAGCCTCACCGCTAATCACTCCCTCTAAACTGAAAATTTGGACAGATCATATTTTGGCACCTGATTTCTTTCATATTTGTATTTTATAGATATTTCAATAAAGAGTAATCAATTGCTGAGAAAATACTTGTCAAAAAGCGATTCAAATTTGAGACACCCGAAAGATTTAGCTTTATTTTTAAGGTTATAATCGATGTCTAATAGTAATAATATATACCGCTTTAGGAAGACTCAAATGCTAATATTAGTATACGATTACACCATTAGACGGTATTGCAAAGGTATCATAGTTTTAAGGAAACGATCATTAGCATCAGCCAGTGCATATTTCTTCTCAAAAGAGGGAACTACAGTATAATAGTAGCCGGTACAAAACAAGTCATAAAACTATTTTTCCTACTAACTTTTTCATTCTCGATAATTCGTCATGAAATTTTCACTGGATAAACTTTCAAACATTCCTAACATACATAATATTTTGTTCAACGCATCGTCAATATTCTTTATAATTACACTTTTCAAAAAGGATGACCATATTCTGCGTAGATAGCAATTTTGCGTCCTTTGTTTGAAAATGATAAACATCTTTTTTCTATATGGAATAAGTACATTCTTTATTCCAATCAAAATCATATTTTAAATGACATAACCATTTTCATTTGTTACCTTAGTTTAACAGAGTACCTGTGCATTGACCTGGTTCTTGAATTCTGACCTTCTACGGCATCTATAATAACTATCTTCTTGCCGTTCAAAAGATACATTTTTTCCTCAGCTACACAAAGAGATTAGGACAATAAATTCAAATATCTAAGCGTCAGTGATAAGGAGCAGAAAGACATTCGATTGCACAGCATATCTTTAATTGATTATACATAATTCATATCATTTTACTATTCCATTCTAAGAAATACATGAAAAATGCATGTACATTAGCCAGTACACGAGCTAGCACTCAAAATCAACAACTGCTAGAATTGTTCTCCATTTCCCACAAAACGATACCTTTACAGAAATTGGCCATCATTTTTAAAAAGTTGAAATGATAGTATATTGGAAATTCTTGAAAATTGATTATGACTTAAACAAAAGATGTAGTATGCTAGGCATGCTTTTAAGTTTATCCGGTGAACGTTTCCTGAAAAAGTATTGAGAATTGAAAAAGGTATCAGGAAAAAGGAGGTATAGTGCTGATATATAATAGTAAAGGGTTCGTTTTCAAACTTAACAGAGTGCTCCTACCAAAATGAATTTGCCTACATACCCCTGAGACTCTTATCTGATAGATAGAATGCACAAATAAAACAAAAAATTTGCTATTATAGGTAAAAACTATGATTTTACCTGTTAATTCTGTACATGGTCCGCCATTTTTGCGGAAGTTGCACTGAAACGCAAACTACATGAAACGAAACAAAATCACTTTAAAAAACATGGCACACATTGTGCGCATGTGCAGCAAAGTTCAAACCAATCAGATTATTTAATTATTTTGCGCACACCTATTTGCGCGATCCTAAGAATCCTCATCAAATTGATAATACTGTGAACTTGAGTCTCCAGAATATTGAGCTTTGGTCGAAAACATGGGGCTTACAGTTTAAGCCTGAAAAAAGTTGTGAAATCATTTTTCACGGATCCAAAATGAAACTAGACAATGTTAGTTCATCTACTTTAAATAATATGGAAATTGAGAGAGTCAATGTGCACAAACATCTTGGTTATACTTTTGACCCTTGTCTAACTCATAGACAGCATATAAATGATATCTTTGACAAAATTAGTAAAATGCTTGGTCCATTAAAGGCACTCAAAAATATGATGACTTCTAAACACATTGGAACTATTTTTAATTCTTTCATTCGTCCACATTTTGAATATGGAACTGTCCTGTACAATACAGCTCCTAAGTACCTCCTTCAAAGACTAGACAGATTATACTATCAAGCTGCACTATCTTGCTCTGGTTGTCTCCTTGGAAGCAGTTTCGATGAGGTGCTTTCTCTACTTCAGTGGCCTACTCTGGAAACCCGGCGAAAAATTCAAATAAATAATCAAATGTTCAAAATAGTTAATGTTCAAACTATATCTACAAGCCAACTCAACATCTCAAGAAATCATGAAATTATCATTAATCGACTTAGAGCTGATCTCCTGTTTAAAGCCCAGTTATATGCTCACAACTTTAATTTTATTGATACTCCTAATTGTACATGTGGACTTCCCCAAACCTTGAAACATGTTTTCTTTCACTGTCTACTATTAACTGCAGACAGAGAAAATTTATTTAAAGATATCAATGAAATAGCACAAATTGAACATAGAAATCAAAATTATTACTTGAACTTATTTAAGCATGGAAGTCTTGACATCTCCCTAGATAAAAATCCACTTATTTTGACAACTGTTGCAACTTTTCTTCACACCAACAATTTGGCTCTCTAAACCTAACGAGTACCGACCCGGCTTCCAGACCTGATATCACGCAAGACCCAGGAAACTCATGTGCCTGACCAGCACACATTTGCTATTATATTATATTATTTGTGTTTATTTGCTCCTCTATAATGCTGAAAGGCGATCGAGGAGTTCTTGTGTAAAATATTTTACTGATATAAATAAATAAAGTAATGTATAAAAATAAGAAAAAATTTTGCGCACATGCATTATTTGCTTCTGAGCACTTACAAGATTACCACAATAAACAAACCTGGCAGAGACTACCCTTAGCCTACTTCATTTTGGCGAAATTTCAGCTCAAACTCGTGACAAATGCATTATGCAAACGCTGGTGTGAAGCCTTGGAGACACTCAATTTGGTATAAATGATTTATGGTGTATACTTTTCTGCAGTTTGTGGGAGATGGGGACATTAAATTTTTAAAATTCAAGAAAATATGCCAATTAAACGACTGATCAATTAATATATACCAGCACTATATATGACTTGTTCTGGCCCGGCTACTAACTATATCGAGCATTAACTAGTTGGAATTGTACCAAAATAATAATATTTTACATAATTTTGAAACAGAACTTGATAAAAGAAACATTGTAGTGTAATTGTAAAATTTTAAAATGATATGAAAATAGATTTTAAATTAAAAAAACATTCACTAGCTTACCGTATGCAGCTATCGTGATGCACCTTGACTCAGACGCAGCGCTACAAGAGATAATACAACCATCATTGTTTTACAAACGTATTATGGGTGTATTGAACACCTTTATGCTACTGATGTCACAGTATAAGTCAAATATGCATTGTATAAATTGGCGTCTCTGGAAATACGCTTATGCTATCTCAGTTAGAACACCTGGAGAAAGAATCCGTTACCCCATGTACCTAAAGATGCCCCAAAAGTTTTCATTGAATATAACATTGAAATATTTACATTTATCAATTATGAACACATCCGAAACAAAATTAGGCCATATGAATTAAAACTAAGGTCATTCAGTGCATTTAAGTCATGAAATAACCCCTAAAAACGTTATATATCAATGAATTTAAATCTTGAATCTCAGCAAAAGTACCATTATCACCTCAGTTGGTATGCAGTAGGTTTAACCTAGGATATCCAATTTGGAGGACATATTAAACATCATTATTAAAGGTAAGACACAAATGGCAACATATTGAAAACACAAAACCGAGGTATTCAACTCAAATATTAAAAATCTAGTGGTGACTTTCCAATATATGATATATTTATTTGGCATTTTCAAAGAATAATTCAATTGAAGCTAAAGGTATAAAGTCAAATGATTGTTTTTTAGAATTGAAAAGGTGCATGAAAGGTAGTTTTTCGTCAGTTTTAAGCCCATCGTTTTGCTATCAAACAAGGGGGTGGGGTATTTTTTAATCTATCAATTGTATTAGTTACATATAACTCTTATGAAATAAAACATTTTAGTGTGACTTGGGATGAGAACTATCTTACAAGCAGTGTCCCTTTATTGGCTAAATAGATATTGATTCCGTCTTTCAGCAATATATCATCTTTTGGATTGATTGACTCCTTTGCTTCTTTTGGTGAGAACTACCTTACAAGCAGTGTCCCTTTAAACAGCTTCATTGATATTGTCCCTCGGTAATATATTATCTTGCGGGGTACGCAATTGAATGAAGAATGAAACATAGATTGACCCATTAGCCTCATTGGTTGAGAAATACACTCCCCTCCATAAGTTTGGCAACCTTTTTTCCCCATTGAACTATGTGTTAAAGCCTCTCTACGTTTGGATTTTTATTTACTTAACCGGCGGTGAAATAACTTATAATATTGATGGAAACGTAACTTGACTTTATTTCCAATACCTCCAAATTTTCTCAATTTTTTTCCTCAATTACAATAGGTCGAATATTGATGATAAATTTGATGGATTTTTGAAAATCGTCATTCCCATGTAATCCAATGGGAAATGGAGGGTTCGGGGCAAATCAGAAATCAGGATATCTTTTCAGTTAAAGATTCAACAAAAAATATTTTTATATAGAAAATTGAATTGTCTAACTTTTATGAACACCAAGTGTTTAGTTTATTTGATGAATATTAAAGTTACAGCGCTTCAAAGTCATTTTTGAAAATAATTTTTCGCCTCCTGTGTTATTTCAATGGGAGAGGTGTTTTGAAAAACAATTTTGACTTTAAAGCCTTATAACTTTGTTAAACCTGAAGAAACATATCATTTTTTTGTTAAATAAAGTTAGCAAATTCAATTGCCTGCCTGACTCGTATTTTTTGCAAGGACTCGGATGGATGGATATTCTGTCATATGACTTGCGGCAAACCTACCATTTCCCATTGGTTAACATGGGAATGTCGATTTTCCAAAATTCATCAAATTTATCATCAATTTTCGACCTAATGCAATTTAGGAAAAAATTGAGAAAATTTGGAGGTATTGGAATTAAAGCCAAATTACGTTTCCATCAATAGTAGAAGTATTTTCATAGCAGGTTAAGTAAATAAAAATTCAAAGGTAAAGAGGCTTTAACACGTTGTTCAATGGGGGAAAAAAGGTTGCCAAACTTATGGAGGGGAGTGTACCTTACAATCAGTGTCTCTTGAAACGGGTAAATGGATATTGATTCAGTCCCCCGCTAATATATCATCTTCAGGGTCAGGCATGAATTATGAATAAAAAGTAGATTTGTTTCTTGGGAGGAGAACTATTTTACAAGCAGTGTCCCCTTAAATGGCTAAATAGTTCAGTCTCTCTGCAATGACGTGTCGCAAAAAGGTGGCGCATTTGTTTTTAAGGGTATCGCGTGAATGTAACTTTGATTCCCCGGATTATAAAATAATATTCTAATTAAAGTTATACATCATTTTAAAGCTGTTTCGATGAAGTTTTTAGATCAACTACACTCCGTTCGCGATTCTTGTGCGTTCTTTTTTAAAAAAGAGTTTTTTACCAAAACATCTGGCAAATATCCCCTGTTGACACGTTACATTTTGAATTATGTTTCGTCTTTAAACGCTCATAACTCAAAGAATATATGACTAGTATACATATTTTTCGTCTTGATAAAGGTAGATAGAAGTTTAGAGTTTGAAAAATAGAATCTGTTGACAGCGACCTTTTTTGCTCATTTTTTGTTCCCTTCAACCTTTCAGGTGTACATTAAACAAAAAATACGAGATCAATTTTTTATAAATCATACATGATTATTTTGCTCTTAAACTCTAGTTTATTAATAAATAGTTGATTTTGTTTGCAAAAGTATGTGTTTTCTGTTGTATGTGGAAAAGTGGAGGACGAAAGGTTTTCAAAATTCATTAAAATAGGGCTAATTTAGGCCATTCGCCTATTTTCAAGCACAGCAAAACGTATATTTATTTCACCTAAAATATCAATTGATTCGTGTTTTATGATGCTCCTATCCCATTGTTAATACATATACGATATCAGAGTTATTCGCCTTAAATATTTGGAGATATAGAGGCAAATGTGGAGGACGAAAGGATTTTCATATGTGTACATTTTTCTCAAAAGACGTCACATTCTGTGGTGTTAAAAAGCGAAAATGTGTAACAAAGCGTGTAAGACCTTTTTGCGACACGTCAATATCTTAAGGGGTAGGCATGGCTCATAAATCCAAAATATATTGACCCTTTGATATTTTATTAAAAATATTTTATTAGGATGAGAACTATCTTCAAAGCAATGTCCCTTTAAATTGCTAAATGGATAATGACTCCAGAGATGGGCATAACTAAAGAATCAAAAGAAGATTGACCCATTTGATTCTTTGTATTAAATATTTGAGTGTTCATTAGCATGATAATTTTCTACAAACCGTGTCCCTTTAATGACTTAATGGATATTGATTCAATCCCTCTGCAATGTATCATTTTCAGAGGCATGCATGACTGATAGATCAAAAATAAATTAACCCATTTGATACTTGTCTGATAGTTTGTTTCCTTTAATGTTGTCTGGCAGATCCAATATGGCCTCATTTTTTTAAACTACTTTTTGCTATACTTTCAAATTGTATATTTTCCGCACTCAGGACCATCTTTCATTTCATGTTGAACTATATAATAATGTCAATACTAAACAATAAAGGTGAAATCAGAGGGGGTCTGACCTGCGGAAGCACCTCAATCTGTCATTGACTGCAGAAGGTCATTCATTCTTAAAAACAAGAACACAATAGGGTGCCTTTTGAAACAACAGGATTGCAAAGTATCTATGCATGGCCGATCTGCTTAGTGGAGCATGCTCTGATACAATGTAGTTTTATACTGACAAGTCAATTTAAGTGTATCTACATAAATCAGAATTTTATTCAAGGTTTTGTGAAAATATTTGAAAATTACTCATTTTAAGAGTCAGAATGACAACATGTGTTAAGAATCACTGTAACAAAACTTTTTACCATATTCTAAATATTATTTTTGTGATTTGTTGAAAATATACTTCTTAAAGACTGATATTATATAAAAATAATCCTGAAATTTCAATTTACCCTTTTCAAAAAATTTCTTTGTCCTTTTAGGTACACTTATGGATACGGATATTTTTATTTTTGATATCATGAAAAACGTTACTAACATCTAGACTCACCCATTTGAATCAAACGCTTTGAAGCAAAATAGGTTATCCCCAGCCTGACCGACCGTCGGCGTCCATGTTGCGGAAATAACCTTGACATTATTCCTCCCAAAGTCATCATTTTGTAAGTTGCCCTTTATGAAGCCTCTGGGTGACACAAACGAAAATGATACAACGCTGGAACGGAATAAATCTATTACATAATTGTAAAATTACAAACTTAAGGGATTATCTTAAAAAGCTATTGCACTTAAATCACTTTCCGACTTTTTTTACAGAATGATATCTGTATCCGCAATCAACCACAAAGTTGACATGTCTTGAATCCATTATGATGTTTTTGCATTAATTGACATACTTTGAATTTGGATACATCGGGGAAGAAGCGTAAATCTTTGTCGTAAATGTTGCGGCTGGTAAAACACGGACTCTTGAATCTCCAGCTAATGTTGGGGTTACAAATTCAGGTTTTGCATCACACGCAGCCTGTCCCCCTGCGAATGTAGGGGTCGTGATCAGCACCTAAAATTAGGCGACACACGTCTTGGCTGTATATGTTGATGTTTATTGAAATACATGGGTATTAATATGGACTTTGATTCAAACATGATATACATAATATTTAGATCGAATTTATAAAGTCGATGTAATGGCAAATAAAACATTAACATGACAACCACCCGCAAAAGGTACCAAAATGAACTACTAGTAACCACTAACCATTGACACCAGTCACAATAATGGTGGCTATAACAATGTGACACCTTTCGGAGAATATTATAGTGTGAATAAATAATCAACAAAAAGAAATAGTATAAAACCAGTAATGGAATAGATGATAATGCGACTCACCTCCAACAGTGTGTTGTACATGTATATGGTATATAAATAATCAAAAGAAAGATATGAAAATGCTGTATACCTGAAGTGGAACGGATGATAATGGTTGAGCGGGTGTTTTCCTCTCACGTCCAACATATATCGTACTCTTGGGGTAGTCCTCGATAGTGATGGTGACCACGTACCAACCTCCAGACGTATAGTTGACCCCCGCATTGAAACTCACGAGGCACTTATCCTTGTTTAAATATCACACGATATTTTGGATTTTTAGAAATTTGATGATGCTTTTATTAGGATAATTTTCAATATTTTTTCAATTATATATCTATACATTGGCAATTACATAGCCCTTCTCCTAGATATGACTAGCGGCAATTGTGAATAATCTATATGGGGTATATAGTCCCTGGTCTGATTTTTCTGAGAGCTCTTGATAAGGAGTTTGTTTTCCGGGTGTCCGCCAAAAAAAACAACTATTACACGCTGTTCCTACTTACACATTGGGTTATGTTACATTTTTCCGGTAACATGGGCTTTCACTTCGAAAATGAGGATTTAAGCAAGGATGTATTGACTTAACATGGGGACGTGCACTATTGGCTTTACAAAGGGATATCATCCTATTCCTAAACCATCAATATATATTTATTTTTGTCAAAGAAAATATAGACAAATGTATTTAGAAGGCAACCTTGTGTGACCCCATTTTAGAGGCATAAACCCTGTTACAATCGAGTCATTACTTAGAAACAGTATGTTCATTTTTTGTGGCGGAGAACCAGACAACGACACTAATTTTTTTTGTAGCAGGTTAGGATCTAATACATACTCGGTCCAAGACTGCATTTGGAAGCAAATTACAAGCAGATCCGCACTCATCCCCGACTGCCCATCGACACTTTACAGTGTCTTGGTCCTCGTCCGTTAGAGGCATCGTCACCTTGTTATGGCATCCATAACCAGCACTAAAATATATATTCTAAGAATGAGCATGCTAGTGACTCTTTGACGTTTTACATTTGCCTGCTTCTTTCCGGGGTCCTTTTCTTATCTTTGATATTTTATTAGGGCCCCGAAGGAGATAACTAATATGAATTGGTATACCCTGATTTGGCAAATTTACGATAATAGATATTTTCAAAAATATATTCAAATTCTGTCATTCTACCAAAGCGTGCACAATGTGTGTTAATATCAACGACATCTAATGTGTGCTATTTTAATGTCAACACAACTGGTTACCATGACCATGCGATACAAATATTGCTCATAAATTCTTAAAAACAGCTTTAGTGAAAGGTTGCTAATATAAATTTAGACAACATAACAAATAATGTATCAGGTGCTTCGATAATTTCCAATTTGTTACTAAAGTATGTTTGCAACCAGCTCAAAAAATGGGATTGTATGGTTTTCATGCTCATAAAAACAATTCGTTTTATTATGTCCATATGATTTGTATCCTCCAACACATGCTTAACACATTCAATCTACTAAGAAACTAGATACAATGAGAATTTATATTACAATCAATTGCATGAGGTTCGTTTCGCGAAATGATTATTTGAAATTATGCACAGCTGAAATCGTAATGTTTGGAGGATACAAAATATTAGTCAGAAAAAGCTTAATTCACCAAAAAGATATGTCTGTACGTCTGTCTGTACCTACGAACGTCTTTACGTACGTACGCCTGTACGTACGTCTGTATGTGCGTCTGTAAATACGTCTGTACGTTCGTATGTATGTATGTACGTAGGTACATACGATCAAACAAACAAGCACAAAACAAATTCTAATCCATAAAAATTGCCATTTTCAGGCTACCGCGATGCCATTTGAATTAAAACAGTTGTACATGGATACAAGAATAAACCTTCCCAAGATTGGTTTATTCAGAATAATTACTTAGTATGTCCAGTGAGTTTTAAATCATATAGAGTGTACCTTTCACAAGGTTGGTACATCCAGTTATATGATCATTTACGTATAACATACACATATAATAGTATGAGCATAAGTCAATAAAAATTACCATCAAATGACAATAATATATTATAATGTCGTTGATCTGAGGGTGTTTGGTGGGGGTATAGCTATATCCTGCATTTCTGAATATGTAGTGGAACCACCATCGGTCTTTCATATTTCTATCATATCGTACAACTACATATAATTCGCATATCCTTAAAGTCGGCATAGAAATATGTTGTACCTAGGAATAATACATCTTCAGTACCTATGTCAAGAAGGTTTTAACATTCACTTGGATATCCCAACTAAGTTGCTCTCTGAATATGACATATTCATTTGCAGGGTATTTAAGTAAGAAATGTTCTACATCTTCTTTCTCGTAGATGTCGCACAATAAACATCACATTTCTATTCTTGCTACCTCTATATTTGGAGTTAAAGATATGCTAGGCAGATAAGTAGGTCAGTATTACATAATCATGAAATGAATAAGTCTGAAAATACAATTGATCAGAATGTACAAAACCTGCTTGAAACTGAAAAACATTGCATGCTCTATTCCACGGGTAGTATCTGAAGCCCCGCCATGATTTAGAAATCGCGAGCAAGTTCCCGCTGAAATCGCGAGCAATTAAAAGAAATGAAGGGGTATCTTTTGTTTACTTAAATTGTATGTTGTACAAAGCCTTTTCATTTAATTTTATTCAATTATCACATGGCAGTGATACTAAAAAGCAACTGCTGCAAAACAAGTATCACGATCTGATGTTCTGAATTTCGTTATTTGATAATTGGAGAGAGAATGTATCATCTTAGATCTTTATCTATATATTTCTATATTTTATAGCTGAAGAAGGTCGTTGCCCTTCAGTTGAAATGTTTATAGTGATATGAAATAAAGGTATTCTGAGTTGCACTTCCTAAAGCTTCGCCGAAATTTATATATTTCCATTTTACCATATCCCTCAAGGCCCCGCTTCTAACATGAGCAATAAACTAAAGATCCCGCTGAAAACATGAGGAGGCCCCGCTGAAAACATGAGGAGGTCCCGCTGAAATCAGGAGCAAGTGTCTCTCCAAAATGGAGTGAAGCCCGATTTTACTCTGCAAATCTGCCACGATTGTAGCCAACGTAATAGATATAATAATTATTGATACTCTACAGAGCACATGTATATCATATATCATTGTTATTATTGTGACAACTAAACATGTACATGTGCGACTCTTTTAATATTATGTAATATCATTGTTATTTACGACTCTCTTTCATCATCAACTATCAATTCTTTAAAAAAGTCTCACGTGATTATGTTATTATGATAAGTTTTACCAGTGCAAGAGGCGCATATACGTATGTTTAGGCCATCATAAAAAAGTACCAAAAATATTACGGACTTTCCCAACCGCCCACCCGTATTTGACTCCCATACAATAATTCCCTGAGCCAGATGGCCTAATGCCAACCCCCTCTCATGAAGATGACCGATGACAGTGGCTGTTAGACTACCCTAAGCTAAAATGAACGGATGTGATTCATGTGAAGCAGGGATCTTATCTGGAAATAGCAGCATCCAATAGTATAGTTTCCATATAGCTTTTGAAATCTCGCTAAATCTCGTTTTTTGTGAGATTTTAAGAGATTTGCATATTAGACCTCTAATGACTTACATTACCTTCTTTTAAATGGCATATTTGAATTCAGTGAAATGTTTTCTCCTACAATAGCTTTGATTTACACAGTAATGTAATTTGAATAATTTTCTATGACAATTTAAAAAAACTTGGGCCAAATCTCCATAGATGCAATGCTAAAATTCTTTAAAACCTTGGATTATTTGAATGTCAACCAACATTTGCATGTTTAATCCCAGCATGTACATAAACAGGGTCATCATGTGGTATATCATTCAAGTTTTATACAGATTCAATTAACACTCTTTGATAAATCATGAAATTAAGCCACTTTTCCAAGATTTTAGCATGTAAATGAATGGAACTCTAGCCCAAGTTAAAAGCTGAATAAAAGATGGCAGCACTAGATTCCATTGCTTTTTCTGCTTTTTAGAAACTATCATATTGCAAAAACTCGGCAATACAATAAACTGCTGTTAAAATAAAATTAATGTTAAGTTGATGATTTCGCGCGTCATGTGGAACCAAGTGCAAATAAAATCTAAACGTCAACCTATACGTATGACCAATCGCCAAAACAAATGCATCGTTTAATATTTCCCGTTCACGTTTAGGTTGTAAAAAACATCGTAAGCTTAAACAACCTATTATCACGATACATCAACGTATAAATTGTTAACACTTTTAACACCAATGCAACGATTGAACAAATGAAACAAATTTTTCAATAATAAAATGCCATATCTAATGTGCCACTTCAGTGTTTTAGCATATCAAAGTATTTTGCAACCTAAGTGACATCATAGTGAAATTATTGCATGTAGGTAGCAAAACGTTTTGAACAAAATCAAAATTGATAAATGGTGAATGACAATCACATTAATTAGGTTCTATACGTATGAGACAAAACGCAACGGAATATTTGTACATGTATTTTAAAAACATAAATATACAGTGCGTATCAAAAAAACGCAACAGATCGTTATCTCGGAAAAGCACAAAACCAGTGATAACAGCATTGATTTCATTCAATGCACTGTAAAGCCATATGTCTCCTCTTTACAATGATATATCATTCATTGATATTTGGTCATGGTTTGGCGAGTAATCATTCCATTTGCAAAGTGCGCCAAAATTAGCTTTGGGCCAAGTTATAAAAATCGCAAAAGTCAGTGTACGGAGCCCGATGCAATATTGGAAGAAAACATAAAACCAATGCTGATTGCATCCTTTTCATTCAATGTACCAAAAAGCCGGATAACTCCTCCTTGCAATGGAATATCATTCATTCACAGGGAGTCATGGCTGACCGAATAATCGTTGATATTGCAAAGTGGGGCAAAATTCAGCTCGGACCCAAGTTTTAAACATTGCAAAAGTCAGTACAACGGGCATTTGGGCTATTGGAAGAAGGTGTGACAGGTGTGGTATAGACAGTAAAGTGTTCATACTCATACTCTTGCAAGAATACATCCAATACCCCTCCAAATTGCTACCACTTTCTTGCACATAAAGATGCGCTCATCTGTCCACGTCATGCATGGTTCAGCCCTGAGTCATCTGTGGGTTAAAGCAGAGAAAAGCAGCACATGGGCAACTCTTTCTCGAGGTTTTGCAATATCTGGTGGAGGAATTGTGAGCACAGATGCTCCTGAGAGAGTATCCTGTTAATAATCAAAGATTTGAGGTAATAAATGTGGATGGATATCTGAAAGAACGGGAAAAAGGGTAGGAGGTCCTATCAAATTATGGTCCTACTCTCCATTGATTTATATGGTGACCTCAATAGAAATCTTTCCCTCATTATCTTATACGCAATTAGGGCCAGTAAGGGCCGTTAAGAAAGGGACCATAATCCCTGGGGGACCATCATTTCTTTCACACCGGCCACGGCCAAGAAATCAAAACTGGACATTAATATTCTAAAATTATTCCACGGTTGGGTGGAAATTTTCTGAAATTTGGCCAATTGAATAATGTCAACCAAATATCCAAAAATGGTATGAGATTAACAGATCATCATATAGTCGGTTTAGGATATTTGCAGTATCCCTTGGGCAATATAATGTATCAATCCTCGGGACCTAAGGCCCTCGGACAGATATGGCCTCGGGATAATCCCAATATCCCGAACCTCATATAGGATAATCTCTATATATTATATTGACGTTACATTATACGTATACATGTAGTTCAGTACATCACTAAATAAGATGAATCGGCAGCAATGGCGCACACATTTAAAAACCAAATTTATAGATCCACTTCTGAATGTTATTAACCAAGGAGTACAGGCCTTCTTCGAATAGCATTTGTGTTTCAAATAATAATAGTATGACACAAATGTTAGTGCAAC